TATATATATACATAGATAATGACGCGTCCCGTGTACGTAACCTATAAGCTACACGATATATAGGCCGCAAGTTCATAGGTCCCTCGATATTAATTAACAGGGTTCATCAAATAAATGGCTGAAGTCATATCCAATCCCTGAAGTTAACGCCTTGAAGTTACATTAATTATGACCACACCCCAAGGTGACCGTCACTAATTGAAGAGGTAAAAACATACGCACCATATACTCAAAGAAACTTATTAGAACACAAACAAAGAAAATCGTTGAAAGCACTCACAAACAGAACGTCTTTTTTGTCCATTGCTGTTGTTAGCCACAGACATGAGAAAATCACGCTCTTTCTGCTATTGTGACTAATTAAAATACCTTTGCCATATGCGGGCATAACTGCAGTGTTATAACAAGTATTTGTTAGCAAAACAAACAACCACAACACACACAACAAACATCTTCAGACTAGGAAGATGAGATCAGAAGAAATGAAGATCAAAGGTATGAAAAACTCACTACTGTTCAGAATCTTTGATATGCACTTAGCTTTGTTTAGTTATCTCTATATCAACAAGTAAATAATTATAACAGGAAAGACAGACTAAACGGATAGAAATATATATGCTAAAAATGTATAGATTGTGATTGTGCATATATTATGATGGTTAAGATCGTACTGTCATGTAGTTTATCAATATTATTAATGGTTTTGTTGATGCCATGCTCATTGAATACAATATTTACGGTCACGAACATGCTTGCTAAACCACAAAGTCAGTGAATGCTGCTGCAGGAAATAAATGCACTGCTTTTCTAAACAGGGTTACGGCAGCTAGAGAAACAGCTAGGCCAGAAACCATGCAATAGATGGCAGCACTGACATCACAGTACGTTCACCAACGATATAGAATATATCTCAATTCTATAGCTTTTCTTAGATTTTACAGCTTTCGTAGATATACGGGTACCCAGGGAGTTGCATACATATAGCTTATATGTTATATATTTAGCCCGGCAGATATGTGCAATATTTTGAGGGAATTGTGATTTTTATGATACAAGCATGAGCTTTGGCACACTGTTAGAGCATGCCCTAAGGAAAATGTTTGGCTATAGGGCCATCGCATATTTGTCCCATGGCAACAATGGCGGCCATTTTCCAAGATGGCCACCATCCAAATTCATTATCCTTCATTTTCAGCTAATATTCAACATAGAAACATAATCTTGGTGTCTAAACCAACATTATCGGGGTCAAGGAACACATTGCAATCAAAATCATTATCGGTCAGAGGCCGCCATCTTGAATTTCAAAATGGCCGCTATTCAAATCCATTATCATTTAATATTTCAGCAAATATTCAACATAGAAACATGATGTTTGTCTAAACCAACATTATCGGGGTCACACATTGCAATCAAAATCATTATCGGTCAGAGGCCGCCATCTTGAATTTCAAAATGGCCGCTATTCAAATCCATTATCATTTAATATTTCAGCAAATATTCAACATAGAAACATGATGTTTGTCTAAACCAACATTATCGGGGTCACACATGGCAATCAAAATCATTATCGGTCAGAGGCCGCCATCTTGAATTTCAAAATGGCCGCTATTCAAATCCATTATCATTTAATATTTCAGCAAATATTCAACATAGAAACATGATGTTTGTGTCTAAACCAACATTATCGGGGTCACACATGGCAATCAAAATCATTATCGGTCAGAGGCCGCCATCTTGAATTTCAAAATGGCCGCTATTCAAATCCATTATCATTTAATATTTCAGCAAATATTCAACATAGAAACATGATGTTTGTGTCTAAACCAACATTATCGGGGTCACACATGGCAATCAAAATCATTATCGGTCAGAGGCCGCCATCTTGAATTTCAAAATGGCCGC